CCACATCCACACCCACCCACACCCACACCCACACCCACACCCACACCCACACCCCACACCCACACCCACATTCTCTGAAATTCTGGTTGAAATCGGATGAAAAATAGCAAAGTTCGTTTCTAAGGGGAGGGCCCCCTTAAGATATAAAGGCAATTCTCTTTTCTTACTTTAAAGAAAATACTTGAGACTTGGAACTGTCGTTGCCATTTTTTGCTTTGCTTCTTTTTCGTACTCGTTTGATCGAGTATTCGATCGGAATCGTGAGGAAAAAAATGCGCAATTCTACGTAAATAGCGAAGTTTTGAAGAAAAATAACAGGTAAGAAAAAGATTTTTTCTATGTTTAAACCTTTTTAAAAAAAAAAGGGTTACGACAGTCGTTGAACTGAAACACGACCTTTCAGATAAAAAAAAAAGATTTGATTTTGTTTCGTATTGCGACAAAAAGCTGCTGAAGACGCATCACCGAACATACGTTTTGAGATAAAAATGAGAAAAAATTTCTGTCTTTACTAAAAAAGCTGTTAGCGTACCCTCTATGGGATTAAAATGTGAAACACGATTCATCTACTTATTCAAAATAAAGGACACTATAAAGTCTGTGAGGGTCTTGAATAAGGATTCAAATTTGCTACCTTTATACTTCAACATTCTTTTTAGATCGTGTTTCAGAAAAAGCCTGTCTTTTTGAGTAGTAGATGATGGACATTATCAAAATTTCGGTGCGAAAAAAATCCTTGTTGATGTAAAAAATTTTTTGTTTTTAAAGTATAGCATGATTGAGACTATGATCGTCAGCATGTATCTGAGTTTTCATTTTTTGAAGATATTGATTTTTTCTGTTGAAGAGGCTTAAGAAAACAATAAATGAATGGGACAGATACAGATAAGACTAATACGATGTGGGGTATGTGGTGTGGGTGTGGGTGTGGGTGTGGGTGTGGGTGGGTGGGGTGTGGGTGTGTGGGTGCAGATGTGGGTGTGGGTGTGGGTGTGGGTGTGGGTGTGGGTGTGGGTGTGGGTGTGGGTGTGGGTGTGGGTGTGTTGGGTGGGTGTGGGTGTAGTATTTGTTAGACATCGACACCCACACCCATGCCCACACACACCCACACCCATACCCACACACACCCACACCCATACCCACACACACCTACACCCATACCCACACACACCCACACCCATACCCACACACACCCATACCCACCCACACCCACACCCATATCCATACCCACACCCACCCACACCCGCCACCACTCACACCCTCTACCACGACGTGTTTCGATTCTTGCTCAGAGAATCATCATCAGACAGTTTCAATCAAAGTTTCATACACATTACATTTCAAATGCGATCAAACTGAATCGATAAATAGAAACAATCTAATCGAGAGATTTGGAATAGAATTAAATTAACGGAGGTTTCCTCTTTCAGAGGGTGAGTTGAGAAGCCACGATCGTGATTTCGTTCTTTCTCAAGGAACTCATCATATGGCTTTAGACTATCACAAAGAGTAGATTCTGTTCCAATGGTCAGAGTGTGGGTGTGTCGGTGTCGGTGTAGGTGTGAATAATCGTTCTAGTCTACACCCACACCCATGCAAAGCAACTACGACAATAATTACTGTTTTATTTTTTCTATAATTGTTGAAACAAAAGTCATGCTTGTTTTAAGGAAAGCTACAACAAAAAACAAATGACTGCCAGTAAATACAAGCTACGTGCTATTGACTATGAATGACTTGAAGTCATGCGTCAGTCATTGCCATTTACGTGCTAATTCCTTTTAGCGATTATCAGTTACGTGCAGTCTTTGATTACTTCTGTTACTGAGTTCTTTGTAGAGAGAATTTGAAATTCTCTGGTTGAATCAATACAATGTGTATCAACATCAGTACTCTACAAGTAGCCGTTTAATTCTATTCATAATTTTACTCAATTTGATTTAGTTATAAATGATAAAAGCAATGATACTTCTGTGGACGTCGTTTACATTCATCTTCAGTTGTTATGACATTCTTGCTTTAGCCGAACGCAATGAATGGTTAATTTATTCCAATGACGAACTGAACACAGATTGCTTCTTATACGATTCTCGTTACTTCTGTCATTCGGTAGACGACCAGATTGGTATACAAAAGATAAACATGACATGCACAAAAGGTCAATTACGATCATTTTCTCAATTGAAACAAAGGAATGTCACTACGGACAAGCTCATTGATTGGCTTATTCCATTTAGCGTTATTGAACGATATGCAAGCTATTTGAATTCCACCTCTATTAATTCCAATGACAACACAACCATCTGTCAATGTTTTGTAAGCCGAATTGGCACGAAATGTGAATATAAACTGCCAAAGAAAACTGTAAGTATTTCTCAAGTTATACAAATGCAACTGAATGGTAACAGTGAGATCCAAAAAGAATCAGAGTTACCGACATCTCTTGTCGATGAAATATCATGTAAAACAAGTACTCTTAATTTGGAATGGCGACAAATTTGTGATGGCATTGTTAATTGTCAAAATGCAGCTGATGAACTCGATTGCCATTTGTTAGAATTCAACAAATGCAACACGGATGAATTCCAATGTCGAAATGGAATGTGTATTCCAAAGGAGTTCTTATTTGATGCTGTGCTCGATTGTATGGATTCGAGTGATGAACAAGAATTGAGTGATGTCTACCAAGTGTACAATAGATGTCCGAAAATGTCGACAATAGAATGTGATGAACGTCTTTGTCGGAAGGATGAATTTTCATGTGGTGACGGGCAATGCATAAAATGGTCTTCTATCATTGATTATCAGATCTCTTGTGAAAATTGGCGTGATGCAACTTACTTCTGCGAGATACCCGATTTCGTGATAACCAATTATTTGATAGCAAATGCTATCTGTTCATCAACAAGTCTTCAAATACCTCAATTGACAAGTACATCAAGTTGTTTGATAAGTCTTCGGTATTTGTTACTCACAACTGGAGAACAACAACTGAGTAAAATGCGTAAAACGGCTATAAACAATATTAAGGATCGTTGTTTAGAAACTATTGAATATCCTGAACGGCCTGTGTTTTCTCCAGTATTTAAAATGTTCTATAAAAGGTCTCGAATCATCGACTTTTATACAAGTCAGCAAAATTTTACAAAACAAATGTTAAAACGACCGGATCTTGTCTGTTTCAGTGGCTCAATGGTTTGTCATGGAATCTGGATGACACTCCAGAAAGATCATTGTATGGACTACAATTACTTCCAAACACTTACTTCGTATCCATTCTTCCCAATATCTCAATTATTTTGTCATGAAGCAGTAAAACAAGCCAATTTTGAAAAGTTAGTCATCTGAAGGGATAACATATTATAGACAAGTGTATTATGACTTATTTGAAAGATGTTAACGTTTCTAGAGTTGTCTTCTGTGAGCAAAAGGATCTTTGTTATTGTCTAAACTCATCAGAAAACTTTCATACATAATTAAATAATCCATGAAGCTAGTACTGTCGGAGAAGATAAATGCTAACGAGCTGTATCATGTATCAGTCATAAAGTATTAACTTCACTTTCATATTTGAACTATTTCATTTGTGACTGAATGCACTTTATATAGCAATAAAGAAAAGCATGCTGTAGGGTTCGACTTGTTTCCTTAGTCTTTTTGAACAGATTAATTTTATTAGTCTTGTAAGCGAGATAGTAACATTGTGATATGATGACAGAATGGAACAAAAGATACTCTCTTTCTCAAAGAACTGAAACCTGTCTTTTCTGCTTTGAGCATGAGGATGGGTGTACGGCTGATCTTATAAGACTACAGTTTTTAATAATCCATTGGAATCCTAGGTATACTCTGATAATCTCTTGTAAGCTGTGGTAATCTGCATAACCCCTGGTAACCGTTATCCGATTTAAAGGTTCATTTGCAATCATACAGGGAGTCACTTTTCCTAAACCACGTGGTAACTCATTCATGTTGCGATTTCTTTCAAGTAGCTGTATTATTCCCATACTGGAAAAGAAGCTTTTATTATCTCTTTTCTTTCGTCTTCTAAACAAAACAAAACACTTCGGATACCATATCTACTTCTCACACGAGAAAAGCATGTAGTGGTTGAGGGGTCTGTGTTGTTTCCTAGGTAGTGTATCAAATATTTTAGGCCTTTTCTTTTTCAACCTTTATTCCAAATAATCTATTCCCAGAAAGAAAAAGCAATTCACTCAGAAACAGATAAATAAAGAATGTACTTATCCAATGCAATAACAGAATCGAGGGAGTCTTCTTATCTTGGAAATGTCTTTACTGGCATAATAGTTAGGTTCAAATTTTGTGAAAATAAGAAAACAAACAATGTGATTTTCTGCAATTTGGCGAACGAGAAGCTACGAAACACAGAATGTTTATTCGTGGATTGTGTTTAACAGACGGCGTATTTTATATTCGATCAAAGATTTATCTCTTAGCCTAAATCGATTGTTTCAAGTACACTCACTTCTATAGGGAAGTCATTCTGTATTATCCAAAAAACATACTCTGCAACTGTATTGTTTTACATAATTCTTTATCGTTTCTCTGCATCCTACAAGTAGTTAGTCTAGCATAATATGAAGGAAACATGTCCATAGGCCAAGATAGAGAAATCTCTCGTATAGACATCTCAAATATGAAGTTCTTTCGTCCATCCTCCGGAATATAGAATCACTTTAAGAGAAAAATCCAACAGACTTACGTTCGCAAAAGACTCTTCGGAGATACAATCAAATACGGGTTAAAAAACCTCTATGCACCTATTGTATATTCAATTAAAACAGCCTATAAATAATTTTAAATCTCTAAAGTATATGTCGAAGTGCAGAAGAATGATTTATTTTGAGTAATACTAATGTTCTACTCGTACAAAACGATCGTTAGAACAAGAAAACCTAGTCAATACTCGTCTACTTTTAAAATGTTGCAGTGTTACTTTATTCCAATCGAATACATATGGACAACTACCATCATCAATGGTTTTTACTTGTCCGAATACATCAGATTGTGTTTCACTACGTCGTGTCAACGATGGTTATGCAGATTGTCTTTATGCTGAGGACGAAAAGAATAGTGCTTATGCGATGATCGAACCATTTCGATATCGTTGTCAGACAGGATCATCGCCAGTTCAGTATGTAAGCTTTCAGCAATTGGGCAATGGAGTGAACGAATGTGCAGATGGTAGTGATGAAATCTCAAGTGAACTGAGTTGGTCTTCTTTGGACTGTAGGATTGATGATAATTATGCTTGCTGGGTATTTCGAGGTGATGGAATCATTGAGAATAGAATAAAAGATGTTCGACTACCTTTTCATCTTTATTGCGATACAGTTTGGGATACGATGGATGGTCGAGATGAACGAGATTGCTCTAAATGGGTTTGTGCACGTGGAACTTATCAGTGCAACAGGACAAGTCAATGTATCAAACGAACATATTTATGTGACGGAGAATTTGATTGCGATGATGGTGAAGATGAATTGAACTGTCCTAGACGATCACAAGAAGGGCCTTTAGAATTCGTTTGTAACAAGTCAAATGAACATTTTTGTATAACGTCACAATATCTACAGGATCGCATACTAAACCGTCCTTGTATATCATATACCAATACTGGCGATGGTAAAATTGACTGTTTAGGTGGCCAAGATGAACGTAACGTATTCTCTTGTTCAGATCATACAATGCTTGGAAATCGATTTTTATGTGATAATCAAACGAAATGTCTTAACTATACAACTTTATGTAATGGTGTATTTGATTGTTTGGATCGTACAGATGAATATATTTGTTTCTGCCAATATGAACAGTGTATTAAAGAACAATTGGCTTGTTCAGATACAAATTCATGTGAAAATGGTCGATGTAATGCCAAATCGAACTGCTCATGTTCAAATGAAACTCCTTGGTTTTGGTGTTCCAATACGAGAACCGCATCAATGATTTACCGCTTAAGTAAACGTCGACGTCCATCAAATTATGAGACGTTTTGCTATAGCCATTTGAGTACTCAATTGACAACTAGTACTACTAAAACATCACTAATAACCCTTGGCAATAGAAAGAGTATAAAGTCTCGTCCGCATGGAGTATGTAACCGAGGTTTCTATCTGACCGATGAAAGTCGTAAAGCATATTATTGCTTTTGTCCTCCGAGTTTTTATGGCACTCGTTGCCAATTTAACAGTCGACGCATAACTGCTCGCGTTCGTTTCGATCGACGTCACCGTTTCGATCTTCCACTGGTCATACATGTACTGGTTTTACTTGTATACAATAATCAAACAATTCATGATCATCAAGTGTTTGTCGATATCGACAAAGATTTTCCATCTAAACACACTATCTACTTGCAATATCCTCGTCCTAAACCGCAGGGAATATATTCAGTTCGTTTCGAAGCCTATCATTCAACTAATATACTAACGGCATGGGAATATCCAATTAGTCCATTCAGTTTTCTACCTGTTTTTCGTCTTGCCAAAATATTACGATTTCCGGATCGTAGTCTACCCTGGTCGTGTTCGTACAATCATTGTCAAAATAATGGAACATGTTATAATTCAAATAATGGACAAAATTTATGTTTATGCCAACGAGGTTGGCGAGGTATTTTTTGTGAGAAGAGAATTAATGACATAAAATGTGCTTTCCATTCTCTTGCACGAGATCGAAATGTTTGTGTATGCCCATATGGGTATCTTGAGCCTCATTGTTTTGTTCGTAATACTGTGTGTGAGAAGTTACATCCTTGCTCATTAAATGAAATATGCTATGCTCTCTCCACTCAACCTCCTAACAGTTATACATGTCTGTGCAACGGCTTGAACTGTGACATGCATGCAACAGTAATTGTTATGCATCAAAATAAATCAAATGAGTCGCCTTTTCTTCTTCAACTGCTTAAATTGACTTCGAATTATCCACGCTTACGACAACATATTCTCGTTCACGCATCAACCAATTTTCCAATCACAAGAGTAATGAAAACATATGACACGCACTATAGAACAGCCGATATACCTGAGATAGGTTTAATGTTTACATTTCAACCACGCATAAAATCAGTTGATATCGATATTCATCTGCTCTACATAAATTGTTCAAATACTCTGCGAAACTTTACAATCGATCTTAATATTCAACCTCAACGGTGTCGCTTATTGAATGAAGCGGAGCATCGTTCTGTGAAACTTTTTCACAGCTTTTGTCAGCAACCAATGAATTATTCATGTTTCTTATCGGACAGTTATCTATGTTACTGCAGTATGATGACGGCAAACAGAAGCGAATGTGTGTCGTACCTTCGACGAAATATTGCCTGCACACTTTGTCTCAATCAAGGCTACTGTATTCAAGGTGAGTCTCAAAATAAAAGTGACTTTGTTTGCGTATGCCCTAAATGTGTATCAGGCAAGCTTTGCCAATATTCCCCAAGTCGTTTTATGATTTCTTTGGAATATCTTATGGAAAAAGTGAAATGGGATCGCTATCACTTCATCGGGCCGGTTATCTTCGTATTCTTCGGTACAATTTTCAATGGTTTCAGTATTGTCACATTCGTAAAGCCAAAATCTCGTCAAACAGGTAGTGGATTCTATCTTCTTGTCAATGCATTTACCAGTCAACTAGTGCTCGTTCTCTTATGTAGTCGCGTTGCTTATCTCTATCTTTCACGTCTTATTATCATTAGACAATCGCTAAATATTGTATTATGCAAGAGTCTACCTTATTTCATGTCTTCGCTTAACTATATAAATCTTTGGCTAATGGCGTTTGTCACAGTGGAAAGAGCATTACTAGTTGCATTGCCTGCACGATTTTCTACGTTGCGCACACCCAAGTTGGCCTACATTTTTACTGCAATCATAACTATTGTGATATTTGGCTCGATCTATATACATTTCGATCAATATAAATTAGTTAATCAGCCTGATGAACTTTATTCGTGGTGTGTAAGTGAGATTGGTACGAATCAAGAAAACTTTGCTCAGTACACATCACTAGTACATCAAATCGTTCCATTTATCATTAACCTTTTAAGCGGTTTGATCATTATAGTTTTCATTAGTCGATCAAAAGCAATCAGTCAACACCTTCCAGTGCATAGAATTTTAGCAAAACAAGCACGCGAACGGCAAGGTCTTCTGTTTGGCCCAATCATATGTTTCATAACACAACTACCTCAACTGATCTTTCTGTTCCATGATGCTTGCACTTATGAACAAACTTCTTGGTTCATTCATTTCATGTTGCTGACTTACTATATTTCATTTACACCACATATGAGTCTCTTTTTTCTTTATGTTCTACCCTCACCACTCTTCAAACAGGTATTTTTAACAGAGACGATGCTGGGCAAACAATATACTGAAGTGATAAGTCATTAGTGTCCCAATGGGCATATTATCTTATGTGATATCTTTTCTTTCTCAGTATGTTCTTGTACAATCAATAAGGGTGTGGGTGTGAGCGGGTGTCGATGAAAAGAACACCAAGAGTCACAACCACCACCACACCCACACCCCACACCCTTTTAAACTTTTTTATATCACTAGAACAGTATCTTTTGAAAAAACCAATTATATATTCTGATAGAGCTTGAAATTCTCTATCATGCTATATATTTCTCTATTGTCTTGACTATGCCTATTCAAAAGAAAAATCGAGCACATTGAATATAAACTCAATTTAGAGGAAACAAAAAACTCTCATTTTTTTCTCTAATCTTCCAAGTTTTTTTTATTTATTATTTGACATAGATGAATTTTTACACAAAGGTAATTATAGATTTTGATAGTACTTGCAATTCTGTACTATCCTATATGTTTTTGCATTGTCTTCGATCTATTACATGCAGCATATAAATGTAGCATAGAAGAAAAATATAGAAGATGATAGAGTATTTAGAACCCTATAAGTGTATATGATTCCAGTCCACAAAGTACTGTATACACTAACGACATTATAACAAGAGAGAAAAATAAAAATTTTTGAGCCTTCTAAATTGAAATTATATTTAGTGTACTCGATTTTTCTTTTGAATAGATATAGTCAAGACAATAGAGAAATATATAGGATGATAGAAAACCCCACGCGCTTTCAGAATATGTAATTAGTTTTAAAAATTCTATTTTTATAATGACAATATACTAAAAATACGAACTATAGCTATTGTTTTCCGGGTGTATATATGGCTCATTGATTGACATCTCAGAATTTGTCACATGTTCAATAATCCGTCGTTCATTTATTTTCGTTTACAGAGATGATTTTCAATACTCTTCAGAGTTCGAATCCTTTTCAACCAAGATAAACAATAACTGGTTATGTCAACATGATAGATCATAGAATCTTGACAAATTTCTCTCGTGAAAATATTGCCTAAAAGCAATTTTACTCGAAAATTTCGCAAAAAATTCTCAAAAAAAAGTCTTAATTAGTTTCTGGACGTTCAGATATGTCTATGTCTTTGTCAAATTTTGCGTGTATGTGTATATCTCAATACATGAATATCCTTTAACTCTTAGGAAAATATTGGACTTCAGTGAAAATCATGTTGCTTATTAATAATAACTACGGTTGAGTAATTTATTAATCCCAGTGATTTATTTGGCTTCATCTGCGAGTCCAATGATTTGGTATAGATGGGTTCACAATGAGTGACAAATAGATTTACATTATGAATTTTGTTTTCACCATTTCCAAGAGGAAAAAACAAGACTCTAGTTCTCCGAAGTACGTGTGGAATATGCACTCCTGGAGTTCCGCCTTTTCCTCCTTGATCAATTTCCATTCGAAAAGAACCAGTAGCATTAAATAAATAGACGACACTTATTTAAATAGCTATAATGATTTCAATAGGCAAGAGTCTTTAGATATCTGAGTAGTCTTCACATAGCAAAAGGGAGGCTTAAAAAACAATAAAGATGTTTAAATAACTTTAGAAAGACTTAAATACTCAAACTGCCTTTAAAAAGTTATGGAGAGATTAAATAACTCTAGTACGGATATTCGCGGGAGATATTATATGTCTATTTGTACGAAGTCAAAGTTCTAATGAAAGGTAAAAATATCACTGTTATCCTCACATTATGTAAACAGTAAGAAAGGTCTATTTTAAAAAGATTTTATTTTTCCTTTCGTACAAAATAAAGTAAACAATAATCACATTTGAGTATGAATATACCTTTTTATAAAGGTTGAATGAAAATGTTATTCATGTTGAATGACTTTTGTACCGAAATTGTTGTCAATATATAAGTAAATATTATACTTGCAAATAATAAAATATAAACTATTAGAAGTAAGTGCAAACATGTGTTTTTCAATTATCAGAAGGTTAGTGTTTAAACAAAAACCCCTATTGTACTAAATACTTTGATAGATATTATAGAAATCTTCACACAATAACAGATACTCTTATCTTGTTTTTCTTTGTATTTTTTTTTGAATGATCACATAATTGACAAATCAATGAAAACTTAAATTTAAAAGTTTGAGGAGATTTTTATTTCAATAAATTCCAATTTTGAGAAATCGGAAATTAGAATAAATGCAGTATTTAAAAATTTTTGAACCTGTAAGTCACGGAAATATGAACTTACGAGATTAGAAATATTAAGATTTGAATATTCAAGTCGAATATCACGGTACTTAAACGACTGTATATGGTTAAGTTCTAGTATCTTATGACCGGAAATCGCAGTTCTATACATCACTACTTAAATACGTGACAGTACTATGCACGACCGCTTGATTTGTAAGTAATTACATCCTGTTAGAAAACTATTGCTATGTGCTATCTTTGATTCCTGTGTGATAAATAACTCCTTCAAACATTATAGTATAATATTTCAATCCAATAGAATCCTACAATCTAATTCAATGAGACATAGAAGTCCGATCCGAACAGGTCCTATCAATCGATATAATTTCCGTCTAGTGTCGGAAAATGAGCAGATTCTAGTATTGACATCGGACACCGATCAAATGAATGAATATTTCGTATTCTATGTGATATTGGATCAACTATAATGAAGATTATTTGGATCCAAGTCGCAGAGAATATTGTTTATCTTTTGACAGAAATGAAAGCAATTTCTTATGTTGTGTTGAATACTTTTCCTTCCCTTAAATAACGAAGCGCAGAGCATGTTTTTTTTTTCATGATAATATTATTTTCGGAAACATACAGTTTGAAAGCAAGCGTTAACCATTCTTTTTTGATCTGGAACAATAATTTTTATCACAGTGTCATATATTGATAAGCTTGTAGTTTTATCCAATGGTACAGCTAGAAATCAGTTATAACTTCGTTCTTAAGATTCTAGTTGAATATTAATTATAAACAAAGTCATTGATAAAAAAGACAAAAGTTACTGGTTACTTTACCAAAAATACTATTTTCTTTTTAGGTTAGTTGATAATCTCCATCTTTGATCATGAATAATATCAAAAAATAATCGTAAGAGTATAGCTCTATAATTTTATCACAATAGATACATCTTAATGTATGAAACTATGATGAAAATCTTAGAATATAAGAAAGTAAAAATAAAATTCGAATATGTGTCTCATAGAAGTAGTAACTTTTGTCAGTTTTATACTTTTGATATTTTCTTATCAATCATCATTTTGCTTTATCCACTTTTTGTTCTTGGTATTTAGTTTTTTTTCCTTCTCTTGTTATCGTTTGTCAGCATAATGATATTTAAATGTTGTTACTTGTTCGACACAAATCGACCTTAAGTTTTATGGAGTAGTTACATACCGAACAAGAAAAAAATTGTTTTGTTTCTCATCATTTTTTTTTCAGGGAATGGTTTATGTTTGGCAAAGATGGTGTCTTTTTCTGTTTATTATTCCATGCATGTGGTCTATTGCATCACGTGATCTTTGTTCACATTCGAGCTCATCAAATAAACATTTTTCAAAAGAATTTTTCACATGCAATAATGAGCAAGAAAAACAATCAAAATTTTTGAATGAGCATTCATGGCAACAACTGCAAACTAGTATATATGGCTTACCCAAATGTTTACAGGAACTCAATCAATGTCGAAATATTGCTATTATTGGAGCTGGTAAGTTTTGCTTATAACAGAATTAGGTAGTAGTTTTGAATTATAATTTTTTATTGTTGGATTCCGAGTTTTGTCCATTCAATATCGATCATCTCTGTCAATATTCACTTATATAGATTGTCATATTTAGATATGTTGACACACTATTTTAGAAAAATAGTCCTCAAATTTTTGTATTAGAAGTGAATATTTGGATTTCCATAGATATCAAATCGAGAACTAAAAAAATCCGTGGGGAATCGGTATTTATGTATAATTAAAGCAGTACCTTCGTGTTTCAGATTTTAATCTCATAGGCGTTAATTTGAAAATTTTCTTGATTGAAACTATAACACATTACAGAGTCCGAACAGTTTCTTAGGTTCTGCACCCAACTGAGACTAGGAGTGACACATAAACTTTAAAAACACTTTTAAAAAAGTATTAAAGTTTAAAGTAAAGTTAAAGTGCCACTCCTAAATGAGACTAAAAATCTATCCTTATAGCTTATGTATCATACATAGAAAGATTTTGTTTTACCTAAAAACTGTGCATAAAACTACTATACTGTATTTTTTTCTACATTGATTCTCTGATTGTTAGGTGCTGCCGGTTTATATTGTGGTATACTTCTGGCTGAAGCAGGTCATACAGTGACAACTTTCGAGGCAAGCAATCGAACCGGTGGTCGAATTTTGACTTATCGTGATCCGAAAAATCGATTAAAATATATGGCAGAAATGGGTGCCATGCGTTTTCCACTTGATGCGCACCCGTATTTGAACAATTTGATTCGAAATCGTTACAAGTTGAGTATTACCGAAACTTCTAGTTATGATGAACATACTTATGTATATATAAATGGAATACTTGTGACGAGAAAACAAGCGAATGAAAATCCAGACATATTTCAATTTAATACCAGTCAAAATGAACGAGGAAAGGTAGAAAGAAAGAACACATTAGATTTGATAACAAATTTATCTCTATTTGAAGTATTAATCTGAACTATCTACTGACATAATAAATAGGATTATACTGGTAATGAGCATTTCGCTTTTATATAGGATAATGTATCAGAACTTTTCGATCATAAGTTCAGCTTTACAAAAAGTTTTTTGAAACTTTGATTTGCCAGATTTTACTGGTAGGAATATCGAATTTCTATGACTTATGTCTGAAGTGCACCTGTAAAACTTCAATATTCTAATATCTAAGACACTAATTGTCATCGTCAAGAACATTATTTGATTACTACCCGAGTGACTAGCTTAAAAGAAAGGAGAAAAATGCTTTTTCAAAAGCATCATTTGAATATCAAATATACGCTTCTAAACTATGATTGTATACTTCTTACCTATTTACACTGAAGGTCCGAAATTTTTTCCACAAAAGACATTTTCTGACTATTTGACATTAAAACTTTGTTACATTCCTAGTTATACAAAGCCTAATGAGTAGTATTTGTCTACAAAAAAGTAGCTCTAAAGTTTCTTTTACAAATAAGAACGAACAGGGTATAAAAAACTGTAACATTAAAATGTTCATCTGCCATATGCTATCTCCTAGTCAAAGACTACTCTTATCTTCACACATACGTCTATTCCTCTTTATTGAGCAACTGCAGAGAATTACGTGTACACATTATCACACTACCTAACAAAGTTCTTACTCTAATTTCTATGATTAAATTAGTACAAAAAAAGAGTTATGTAACCAAATTTGTTATATTACTAGATAGTTCAGTTAATTACCGTTCAACATATTTATATATGAAAATTTAAAGTATGTATCTCATAAGACATGTTTCGTTTTTCTTTTGTCAGAGTCCTGATCAATTACTTTCCGAAGCTGTGAAACCTATACTTCAGACATGGTTAGAAGAAGGTTGGCTATCGATTCGAAATCGATGGGATTCATATTCGATTGAATCCTATTTAATCCAAATGAATTTATCTCGTGCAGCTATAGACTATATAGCTGTTTCAACTAATCGTGAATCGACTATGGATACAGGACTCTTGCAATTCATGCGCAGTAAAGTATCAATTATAGATGGAACTAAATTTTATCGAATTCGAGAAGGAAATGATAAGTTAATACAATCAATGGTTAATGAATGTCAAATGATGGAATCGAAGCAATGTTCTATTATCTATTCAACACCCATCAATAAAGTGCAATTATTAGCATCCGATAAAATTAGTGTAATGAGTAAAGATGGTGTTGATCGAATTTTCGATGAAGTAGTTGTAGCGACTTCAGCACCTGTCACACAATTTATCGATTTTCAACCACGAACACATTTTATTCAGAAATATTTGACATTGCGTCAAACGAACTATATATGTTCATCAAAAATTCTCCTCACTTTCAATACATCTTGGTGGTATATAGACGAAAATATTAGTGAAGGTGCATCCAGGACTGATCTACCCATTCGTACGATTTTTTATCCGAGTACAAATATGAATCAAACGGATGGCGGAATTATTATTACTGCATATACGTTTGCACAAGATTCAATTATATGGCAGTCTTTGTCTGATGTGGATGCTATCGAACAAGCACTAAAACAAATAATGCAAATTCATAGAAATTCATCATCGAGTATACGCAATAGTTTTCAAGGTGGAGTAGTCAAACATTGGTGTCAAGATACTTATGTGGGTGGCGGTTTTCTTTACCTTAATCCTTTTCAAGAAACGAAAACTCTAGATAAATTACAAGCATCAATATCGAACGTACATTTTATTGGAGAACATACGAGTTTCTTTAATGGATGGATAGAGGGTGCTCTTTCATCAGCAGTACGAGCAGCTTTATCAATCAGTACAGGAATCGAAATAACCTATGATGTTGTCATCATTGGTGGAGATCCTGTTGGACTGATGACAGCTATTTTTTTGTCATTAAAGCAACCGACTCTTCGTATTGCTATTATCGAAAAAGAAACTATTTTAAATAATTCGAATAGTAATTCTGGTTCCTTCAAACAACAACAATTTAGTCAAATGCATAATGAACAATATCTTGTCGAACTAGCCAATATGTCATTTACACTTTGGCGTCAATTCGAACAAATGGCTAATATGTCATTTGGATCTATTCTTAATACAGATGATGGATATTTACTTGTTGGTGATTTTAATACAAATCAATCAACAATTGTCGATGATTTCAAGTTGATTAAACAAATATGTGAAAATCTTCGAATGGGTTGTGAATATTTGAATAATACACAATTGAAAATGCGTTATCCAACATTCTCATTTCCACTTCAATATCAAGGTATATTTCATCATCAATCGGGTTTTATCAATATGAATACATTGACAATAGCTCTTCTTCGTATTATTTCACAAAAACGAAATATTATCATTCGACAACAGGAAGAATTTTTATCATTAAAATTAAATAATCAAACAGAGATTACTACTAATCGGGGTATATTGTATGCTTCACGTAAAGTTCTCATTGTTCCTGGACCTTACACGAAAAATATATCTCATTTATTTAATTTCCATCTTGATATAACATTATGGGAACTTCCAATTTACTACTTTCGTCTTCTACCAAATGCCACTCGATTTCCTACTTGGCTTACATGGAATAGTAAGGATCGACAATCGATCTTTTTCGGTTTTCCAAGCATGTTAACATCATCAGGTTACATTGCTGTTTTGCCACGTTTTATTCGAAATCTATCAAAACCACTATTTTATCCATCACAACGTACAAATACGGCTGATAATTTTCTTACACAAAAAGTTCTTGAGTGGGTTTCACTTCATATGGCAACTCAAGTCAATGTATCGGATTATTATGTTAATGAACAAACATATTTAACTACATTTTTGCCTGATAATGGAATTTTACTTGACTATATTTCACAAACGCATAGACGAGTGTTGATACAAACTGCTGGATGGAACATGAAATTTGTACCAATTTGGAGTGATATTCTTTCTGATATGATCTTATTTGATGAAGCTATGAATACATCGTCGAAATATGCCAAATATATGAAATATTTTTCATTAACACGACTGAATCGAATCATTGAAAATACAACAACAACAGCATCCAATTCATCCAATCTAGGATTCAAAACTGTATCGAACTATTTTCTTACTTTTACATTATCTTTTTACATTTCTATTTTGAGAATGATTTGATTTTTTTTTCTTCAATGGATTAATCATTTTGACTTTCAATTCATGATGTAGACATCACGTAGCACCAAATATTTTGGTGCACTAGAACTTTATAGATGATATTATTTGCTTCGTAGTCACTATTCAACGTTTTTACAAGAGCTAAGCTTTATTAGTTAGAACTCGATTAGAATTCAATTACTCTTTTTCAATATGATCTCAAAAAGATTTTGTCCGAAAAGCAATGAAATAGTCTTTGAAAGAGTAAGAAAACTTGAATTCGAATGATACTGGAATCATAGACAATACATAAAAAAGACATGATGACCAAGTGTTAAAAGTACATCGAAGGTGAGGCAGAGTTCAAAGTGAATTATTCTACTAATTCATTGTAATCATCAGTTTGTTTTATAATTCATGTAATCGATTCATAAAGCTGCTTAGTTATGTCAAGAATTTCGAAAAATAAAAATATTTAGAGAAAGAAACTGACTTAAACAACTATATATTTTATATACAATCAACATCGAATTTCTATTCTATATTGAGTATTTAGTGCTCTTAGCTAAAGAATCTTAATATATCAAATATCATTGATTCTGTTTAGTTACCATCTAAAAGTCAACTTCTTTTATTAGATATTGAATAAACGAAAAAAGTCTTCCAAATTTGCACTAAATCTCCATCAACAAAAACTCAATATCTGTTATAACTACTATCATCTGCAGTTAGAAAGACTACTGCTTTGTAATTTCATCAGGCATCGCAATGCGATTCATGGATGAACCAGTTGCTACCATGGCAATTATCATATCATTTTGCTCTTCATTGTTTCCAATAGGTCTTGTCAATGATGTATCAACTGGTCCTGAACTCAAAATATTTACTCAAATCTTTCGATCTTTCAAATCTATTGTCCAACAACGTGCAAGAGAACGTAAAGCTGCTTTTGATGCACTATAAACACTCATGCTTGGAGTTTCTTTAACAGACGAGATAGATCCATTACGAATGATTGATGCACCATCAACTAATATTGCTAAAGCTTTTTGTACAGTAAATATGAAGGCAGTTCCTGCATTAGAAAAAAGAATATTCTGGCAGAGAGTATAGAGATTTGTTAGTCTAGCAGATAGTGTAGAATATCTGTAGAATCTGACAAATAATCTGTGAATGCTGCTAATCTAATAAGCAATTTAGATGGGGCGTGTGTGTGGGTGTGGGGTGTGGGTATATTTCTTTTCGTAACCCACATCCACAACCACCCACACCTACATACCCTGATCCCCTCATCAATCTATCTCTTATGATAACTTGCGCCACCTGATTAGTCTCAGTCCCAACAATGGAATTGACTCATCATCATTCGAAATGAAATTACATTGTTTGATGGTATGTTATAAGAGAATAGAGATACTTGGTATTGCACGTGACTTGCTGTATGGGTCTGTGGTAGTATATATTGTTACATTCATATTGTTGTTGTTGAAGAAGTAATCATTAGTTTGAAGGTGTAAAAATGAATGGGTCTAGGATGGTTGCATTCGCTCGATCAACAAGATACTGACTAGAGTGAAAACGGTTATATCTTTTTTTCTTGTTAATGTACAAAATATACACAAGGAAAATGTTCACAAGATAGTCTATAAGTCATTGCTATAATTGCATAAAATAACTACAAAAAACAGTGAAAAATCTTTATCTTAATTTTGTCTATTCTACGTTTATCGTTTAAATGTTAATAAGCAGCAATTGCCTGCTGTGATTTCGTTGTTATTTATTGTATTTTTTAAATATGTAACAAATTTTAAATTTGGTCGTCCACATAAACATTGTTCACGTAGTTTCGATAGTTGAACTTGTTTGATAATAATCCATTCCTGTTTTTTTTGTGTGAAAAAAGGATTCTCAGATATAGAATTTGTTTTTCATTAATACATACTTTTTTAATTGACGATAGCGTTGTTCCGACACTTAATTGTGCTAGTTTTTTTCGAAATCTTTCTCCAGTTTTATTTATAAATGATAAATTTTTATCTGTTTGATTAATTTTATTTGTCGATGATGAACCACGAAAACGAGCACGAGTTAATTCGGCCTGTTTACAGACCAATTTTAATAATTTCGTTTTTGTTTGACGAGCCATGATATGCGTATCAGTTTGATGTGTACAAATGATTAATAAATCTTTTTTTTTTGTTTGAAGACTAATTAGAGAGGATAAGATATATATGGAACAAAAAGTGGGTATACCCAATTTCCGAAAGGTCATATAGCGGTCACACAGAACAGTAAAAAAACGATTAATAAGACCCTTTGTTTTTCGAAAATGGACGGACAGAACGCAAAAGTGTTCGTCCATTCTAGCAAAGATAAATCGAGGAGAGATAGAATTTTTGTCGAAAACGGCGGACGGACAGAACGCAAAAAAGTACGTCCGTTCTAGCAAAGATTAACCAAGGAGAAATAGAATTTCTGTAGTCGCAACGGCGGACGGACAGAACGCAAAAAAAATACGTCCGCTATAGCAAAGATTAATCAAGGAGAAAGAGAATATTAGTTTGACCTTTGAACTTTTCCTCAAGTTCTGTTTCTTTGCTTCACATGTATATGTTTACATAGACTGGCCCATATATCGTGTGATTCGAGAATCCTTTTTGAAAAAACATTTTGTTTACCAAGAAAAAAAACCCACAACTTTAATTAATTTAAACAAAATTTAAACGATGAAGTTTTTGAATTCGTATGACGAACAACAATCTTTTAAATTAAATTTCGATTGCTAAATAAGAATAGACCTACAATAATTGTATGACCTAAGAAAGACTGACTTGTTATTGAATCCACCAATTAATAATAAACTCTAAACCATTATTAGGTAAATGATATATTATAAAATGGACCACATAAAATAAATGATGTATTTAATAAATATTCAAAACCATTTATCAAACGATTCATCCTATATATATTGATGGAATACGAGATTTATATATCAGATATTTTGTACATGGAAAAAGACGAAATAATTTTTCAATAATATATTCATTATACCTATTGCTAATTCAAAGTTTTTGAATTTGTTCAAAAGAATAAATAAGCATTTATTTTATTATATGTTTTGTTATTTCATTTTTAACAGATAGTTTATATAAACAAAGTATTTTTTGTTTTGAATTGGTATAAATATTTAATTTGATTGAGATCGATTATGCGTAATAAATATTTCAATGTGTTATTGAATATTTGAATTTTAATACATTGCTATTTGTGAAATAATATTTGGCAATTTTGCCTTTTGTCACAGTTGATTCATGAATCAACTCGTTCAGGAACAAAATAAGAAATAGAAAATAGATAATCATTTTCATATGTGACATACCAAGTTTCAGATAAAAACAATTTGATAGAAAATATTCCATATGATTCATTGGTATTGGAAAATCTATAAAACATCGAAAATTTTCCAGAAATTGTTTCTTTAATTTTGTTTTCTTGAAATAATACTTACAGTCAATATTTAGATTAAGCCGAGTACGCGGGGTTAGTAATACAATAGGACGAAAATTTATCTCTCCGAAATTAATATAGACATTGAGTAATTTAAGTTGTGGTGTCAAATAAGTAATCGTTTGCAGTTTGTCTAATGAACAACACCCAAGTTTTAAGCAGGGTGCGGGTGTGCCCATGTAAAATTTTTGACCCAAAAAAGTAACTATTAAGTACTTTTAATATTTTTTCACCAAGTGTAAAAGGTACTTAAAAGTGAAATTTTCCTACTTTTTTTTACATGGGGATGTTATCCGCTTTTTCGAAGTAATACACTTCAGGTATTTCAATGAAGTCAGCTATATCTTGTCAGACTTATATTTACCTTTTCAGTTTTGTAAGAAAACAACACCGTTGCTTTTATCTTATAAAATAATATTTCACGCAAGTAACGCATGCACTTGAATCTGTGTTCCATAGATAAGATAAGCAGGGTGAAGTTTTATTTTCTTCGACTATTAGCATTATGTATATTAAGTGACAGGCAACAAAATGCATTAAAAAAGAGGGTTCTCTGGGTTTCATATGAAAGTACTTTTGAAAATTGCGTCTCTGAATATTTCGTTAAAACATTTTGAAGAAATCTCTTGAAGATGAGTGAAAATATAAACATTTTCATTCTTGGTATTTAATTCATTTGCTATTCGTACAGTCGAAAAAATAGTATAACAATACGACTGTGCTTGAGGGTGTGAGTGTGGCTGGGTGATGAGAAGATATCTACACCCACCGCATAACCACACACACCCACACCCACATTGTAGTTGTTGTTCAATTATAGTTGGTGATGGTCAACTTAGTCTTTTTATTCGTTTATGTTTTAATGGTTCCTTATCAAATGTAAGACTTCTTGATAGCAATGGTTTTCCATTCTTATTATTAGTATGATCATCATCATCATCCTCAATTAATGATGGTGTTTGCATTTGACATGGTGTATGTGGCTGAGATGAATTTGTCATCTTGTTAAATTTTAATATTGTTCCACGTGAAACAAGTCAAATTTTTTTTTCTAATGCTTTTGTATATAGTGATTAAATAATAAAAAAACGTTCTCTTTTACAAAATTGATGTTAGCGAATTAGTAACCATTATCGATTCGATTTCTATTCTTTTTTTCTTCTTCTTTTTCTTTTTACACGCGACTATTTAAAATTTCTTCTATGCTTAAAGACATGCAACGGCTACACGTATTTGATTGCTTCAAGACTAAACATCAGCAACATTTCATTCAAAAAGTTCATGACAACCAAACATATTGACATATGCGCAATAGGTTGCTATTAAGAAAGTAGTAGGGTGTGACTGTGGGTGTGAGTGTATGTTCTATCTATAACCACACCCACATACACCCTCGATAAGTATGGTGCCTCTTGAGCACCAAGTACATTATATTGAACAATCAATATCGTCAGTTCTTAGATGAAATAAAGAATATCTCAACATGAGATAAATAAGAGAAGAAGTTAATTCACTTTTTAATCTTATTATACACACAAGATTTATTGTATACTCTTTCAATGTCGACTTGATTCTTAAAGAGAATCAACTTTATGATTTTTATTAATCAATAAGATCAGGTATAATCGGATCAAATTAAAACTTTTACTTTCAAACTAACAAATTTTAAATATAGGCTATTGTTGGCATGTCTAGACTGCGGTATTCAAATTTTAAGGTATTCACAATGTGTGTAACGTACTCAATAATTAAAATTTCAGGAGATTTTTTTTTCGTTATTTTTAGATAGAACTTGTCGAGTTGCATGAGAAAAAATATCTTACAGAAAAGTCCAAGATGCCATTATTTTCCAGGGAAACGCAGTTACCGTCACATTACCATGGAAATGTGATAGTAACTATCTTTTTCTATATATGTTCAGCCTTCATTGATCCATTTGTACAATTCAACATCGGCAATGAATTCTAAGAAACGCCACAGTTCAGATTCCGGGTATGGGTGGGGATATGACTAAATAGAAGATACGTACCAACATCCATCATTCAAAATTTGTCATTTTCTTTTCGACAAGTCAAATCTCATAACTAAAAATGATTTATTTAGCTATTTTTCGTCTTACTTCTAGGCATCGGAATCGATTTGTATTGGCTAATAAATATATCTTATGTCTTTTCTTAGTAACTCTATGCCCAATTTAGAAACATTATATCTTTGGAGACTAGATGATTTTTCTTCGATATCTAGTAAGTGTATGTTAAATGAAAAATTAATTAGAAGAAATTATTTAAATCTTATTCATGGAGCTTTGAAAAAAAGAAGATACATAATTCTTACAAATTTGTATTCGAAAAGATCGATCAGTTTTGCATCAGTTTTGTTTAGGTATTACCATTGTTTTGCTCATTCATTTTTAATTGCGATTACCATTATACAGTAGATAAAATAGCTGGCCGTCGAATGGATTGCAAATGTGGTTCAGCTAAATGTCATCGTCGAGTTCTCTAATCTTTAATCATAATTAAATAAAGAACAAAACAGATTTCGTAGAATAGTGCCTTTTTTGTCTTGTTTTTTCTTGGAAAGCGAGGAGGACAAAAAAAAAACGAATTTCAACATATGTATGTGATCATTATTTGGTTTTTTATGCTTCGTTGATTCCTTAGATAGATTTATCAAAGGATAAATAAAATTCTTAAATTTTGAAATAAACCTCTAGAAAGTCTTCTTAATCTTTTAATTAGAGTGAATTTTATCAAACAGGAAATCCATTTTATATTCGATTGGATTTAAATGAACAAATTTATATGAAAAATCTTCTAATTGAAGCAACAGCACAATCAAATGAATTCATTTTTGTTGAAATTTTTCTTTGTTTCTCATAGTTAAATGCAATCGGTGTTGAATATAGACTTGTTCACTGACAAGATCCAATCTTGTATATATTATTCAAAAGTATTTTTGTGAAGGACCAAATAAATGCATGTAATCAAATGAAAAACAAAATGATTATTAAAGGCATATTTTATATGTTATGGAATGTTCGAAAGAAATGATATGGATATTGTTCTCGTGAAACATTTTTTTCATATTAGAGAATATGTGATGTTGATTAACTAAATATTAAAGTTTTTAAATTGTAAAGAAGATTATTCAACTACTTTAATCCTTTACTCCCTGTTGGGACATTTTCGACTCATTCATGAAATTATCAATTTGGAATATTAAAGCATTGAATCGATATGATGATTTTAGAACATTGTGCAAAGTTCTTAATCAGCTTCAAATTCGAAAAAAATTAAACTTCTTTTCATCATTCCTTGGTTAAGATATATGATTATGGGGCTGGTGCATAATTAATACTGTGAGCATAATCTATTTGCAGAATAGTTTTTAAAAATTTCTTAATTATAGATAAAAAAGTGATGTTTTTCATAACAATTTGAGTCGTTTTTTATCCATTCATAATGAGTAACATAAAAAACGATTTTTCCAGAGTTATGTTATCTTCAATACAAACTCATAAAATAATATGATCGTCATGGTGAACACTTTATTAGAACGATAAAGGATAGAAAAACTTGCAGTCTCTGTTATGGTCTTCCTTCTCGATGAGACTTCAACAACAGGAATGAGTGA